CATATATATATATATATACATATATATATATATGCATATATAGTATATAATATGTATGTATGTATAATATGTATATACTGTATAGTTCCTTCTTTCTTCACATGACTTGTCTTTTCTTCAGTATGCTGATTCAGGATGTGAAGAGTAGTTCTGGTGAAATTAATAAAAAACACAACTCATGGAACTTGACTTCTATACCATGGCCATTGTCTTTCACATCTGCTGAAGCACTAGGAGACATGGCAGCTCTTCCCAGATCTGAGGTGTGTTTCTTGTCTCCCATTCAGGTGAGATCGATAAGGACACAGTACAGAAGTACTCCCACCTCAACGTGGTGGGCATGGTGGGCTCCATTGACAATGACTTCTGCGGCACAGACATGACCATTGGTACAGATTCAGCTCTGCACCGAATTATTGAAGTTATTGACGCCATCATGACCACTGCCCAGAGGTAAAAGGACTTATGGGAACCAACGGGCTATTACTGCTGGTTCCGGAAACATTCAGCAGATCCCATATTAGTATTATTCTAAATGTTCTTATGGAAGAAAAAGTAAAAAACACAAGGAAACAGAATAATTACCTAGAGTCTCCCAAAGGCCATCTCATGGAATAACAAAGAGTGACTTAAGTGAATGGCACACTTGTTAGTAGAGCGAGACACCCTAGAGTCATCATTGGAATTCCAAGGTACCGATGAGCCAGACTGTGAATAGAAGGTTAACATTTTATCTGCAAGTGATCTAGGCCCACAAGGATGCATGATTAACAACTTTCTAGAGAACCACAGAGTTCCCAAAAGCCTTTCCCAGAAAATCAAGTGAAATACTAAGCCGGGCAGGTGCCTTTCACTATGTGAGTGGATAGCTTGAAGCTTGGAACATTGGAACAGGTGTTATTGAGGGAGGCTGGGCCTTTGTGGGCTCCTTTTGTGTAGCATGTCTGGGTCTTAGCTGCCTCTGTCCATTGAACTCTGTGACGCTGGAAAATCACATCACCTCTTCAGGACTGGAAGGATGGCTCAGAGCAATTGGATCTTTCAACTGCAAGGAAAGACAGTCATTGTGGATTGACGGAGCTGATTTATAGCATTCAGGCTCCTGTGCTTACTTGAGTATAGTCAGCCTGGGGTTTTATTTTTCCCTCTGTAGATGAGATTGGATGTATTTTAGACTCCCGACTTCATGGCCTCTCAAGTTGTCAGCTCTTGGATATGATCCCAGCTAACCTTTAGCTTTCAGAATTATTCAACTTAGTTCAGAATAGATGCTTTTTAGAAAAGGGCCTAGGAAAGCATCTTAAAAGCATAGTGTAGTCTTAGGAAACAAGTGACGGGTGTTGGAAAATATACAAAATATACACTTTAGTTTGTATCATGCTTGTCTAGCATGTAGGAAGAAGCCCAGGTTCAATTTCTAGTACCCCATGAGCTGGAGGTGGTGGTGTATGCCTGTAGTCCTAGCAACTTGGATGTGGAGGCAAAAAGATTGGAAGTTCCAGGTCATATATCCTTGGCTACATAGAGTTCAAGGTCAGCCATGGGTCATATGAGAACATGTTTCAAAACCAACCTCCCCCCAGCCACCAAATGCAGTTACTTTTGAAGCCCGTTACTCTTTAGTTCTGAAACCCTTCCAGTGAGTGGAGCTTGCTTTTTGTAGAAAATGAGTCAGCTTGGCAGCTTTTGGCAGCTTGGTGTCAACAAGACCTGAGAAGCAGGCTTTCTGTCTCTCTAGGCTACAAGTATACTTTTCTTGCTGTGAGTGGTAACATGTGCCCTTTTACCCATTTTCCAGCCACCAGAGGACCTTCGTCCTGGAGGTTATGGGGAGACACTGTGGGTAGGTATCTTCTGACACCATCCTGATAAGAATGAACCTTAGCAGCTTCTACATGAGTGCTCTGCACCATAAGTTGCAACAAGGGGCAGTTTCAGAGGACTCGGAAGCCCCTGCGGGATATCAAGGGCCGTAGTTGCCTAAGGTTTTCTCTGAGCATAAGTGGTACACTAGCCTTGCAAGCAGGCTCCTTCCTCTTTGTGTATTAATTACTTTTTGTCTCCACAGTTACCTGGCCTTGGTGAGTGCCTTGGCTTGCGGTGCTGACTGGGTGTTCCTTCCGGAGTCTCCACCAGAGGAAAATTGGGAGGAAAACATGTGCCTCAAACTCTCAGAGGTAAGTGGGAGTCTGGCTATGTTGCTAGAGTAAGGATCTACAGGCCTTTTGGGGTGGCCAAGCTGGATACTCAAAAACTTGCTCATAAAAAACCAAAACAAAACAAAAAACAAATGAGGTCAAGTCTGTTGCCAAGGATCTGCCTGCGTAGGCTGACGTTGCCATGGAGAAACAGCTGGAACCACTGATGCCTTCTATCCAAAGCAGTAGTTCTGCTTCTACCTCGTGGCTCATGCACCACTGAAATCATGGTAGTTAAACAGAGTCAGGATTACAGAGAAAACTCGTGGTTGGTATGCGAGTCATCACTGAATTCAGACACACATGAGTCGACCTCACCTTTTAAATCCTGGCCCCTAGACCCCCAAATAAGACATGAGGTGCTGTGACATTCCATTCCACATTGTGTGGGGATTTTAGACTCTTCTGTTCCCTAATTTGATCCAGGCTCCTCTCTTCCTCTGTCAGGAGTTTGTTGTACATTGTCGTTGACAGTATAGTTGCTTATTAGGATGGGGGTGGGTATTTCGCTATGAAGGTGTAAGGCAGTGTGGATTGGCCTCTTTAAGACCATGCTTAGCTTTCAAGGTGAAGATATTCATATGTAGGTTACTATTCTTCTCCTTTATTTTTGAAGCAATCTTTATAACTGATCTATAAGAAAATTATGTAACCATTATATCACAGACCAGTTTTATTTAGAGCCAGCAAGCACATAAGCAGTGTCTAGAAGAGTCTGCATATGTGTAGGCAATAAAATATTGCTTTCGAGTTACAGTCTCAACGGAGGAAAAGCATTCAAGTCATGAACCAAATAGGTTTTGCCAAAACAAAAACCTATGTAAACAGCTACTGGTTAAAGTTATATCCTAGTGAGAAAAAACAAGCTTCCTTTGGAGGCTCAACATCTTAACTTGAAATAAGTTAGTGATAGTGGTGGATGGCCAAAAATGATCCTCCCTCTGGGAAGGAATTTCCTTTGCTTTGGTCCTGACCTGTGGAACATTAGCAATATTCTCAGGTGTCTAACTAAGACAGGTTGTCCACACCTGGCCCCTTGAGATGTAGTATTCTTATTTCCTGGCACTTGCGTATGACCCAGAAGACTAGATTACCACCACACAGGATGTCAGTCACCTTGGTGGTCTCTTCCTCCTTAGAAGTCATGTCTAGTGCTCTCGTGTCTTCTTCTTCCTGACTTGCCTGCAGCCTGATTTCACAGTGACATTGTCACAGGCCACACATCCATGAATAGTGATTCAGGGGTAGGGGTAACTGTTGGGCTTGGCTGACAGGAAGTGTATAATCAGTCTACGTGTTCAAAATGGTTGTTCAGTGTCTAGGTATTCACTTTAGATTAAAGGCTACTTCTTCGTGTAATCCCATCTAAAGAACATCCTTAGATTCTAGACTTTGTACACTGTGCTGTCAGGTATGACAAGACCAAGATACATACCTTCCCATCCCCCAGGTTTTGGCTGAGTTAGGACAGATATATTTGTATCTGTCTTTTTATTTTTACTGGCCACCTGTGGGTCCCCAGTTGTGGAGGGTGTCCCACGATGATCTCCCGGCTGAGTACTGAGTGAGAGCAGGGAGGGTCTGCTACCACCTCTGCCGCTGCCTTTGCCCGCGTCTCCACTGTCCATTGACCTGGTGTGAGAGGTCTGGGCCAAAGGGTACAGAGTGCGAGCAGGGAGGAGAGATTGCCTGTCTCTCAGCACTGAGCTGGCCCAGGCTGGGCTGATAGGAAGCTGGCTAGCTGGCAGGGAAGCAGCTTGGTGCCCCAGAAAGGTTCCAGGAGAGCAGATCTCTCCCCAAGTGTTACAGCTCTAGTGTTACAGCACTTGCAACAGAAACTCTCGGACACCAGGATGATTCTTGAACACACCTTTATTTCTCCAGAATAAAGCCCTTATATACAGTTTCAGGGTGGGTTAGGGTCTGGCAGTAGATTATGCCTATTGGCTTGGTCTGAGAGCTTGGAGTTACCCCATCTATATGTGGGAGAGCCTGAGGCACTGTTCCTCATGACTGATGGTCATAGACCTCTCTTTGGGAGGGGCTGTGGAGGGCAAAAGCTGAATGAAAAGAACCAGGGCTTTTGGGGTAATCTTTGAGTGACTGCTTGAGTTTATATAAGGCAGTGTGTACCAGAGTGTGAGTACATAAGACAGGGTGCCAGAGTGTGAACTGGCAAATCAAGGTATCTGTGTTCATCGTCTCAGTCCATTTGCATGGACAGTATGTCTGTTAGATTTCTGTTACTATGGTAAACATCTGAGCTAAGGCCAAGGAAACATTTATTTTGACTCATGATCTTAGAGGTCTTGGTCCAGGGTTGGTTGAACCTGTGATGACACCATGAATTATGGCAGGGTTACAGGACAGAGAAGGTCTATTTACCTCATGGTAGCCAGAGAGAAAAAACATGGTGAGAGAAAAAAATAATCAATGGGGGCATTGAAGAGTGGGGATAGGGTCATAATATCCACTTTGCCAGGTACCTTGTCTTCTCTCACTAGGCTCCATCTCTTGTGTACTCACCCAGTGGTTCTGTGGGCTGGGGAAAAGCCCTCAATGCACAAGCCTTTCTTGATTTCTTATCCATTGCCTACCTATCTGCAACCCAGGCCTGTGTGCAGTATTATCTAATGTGATGGGGTAGGTTGTTGACCTCATGTGAGTGAGTCTAGGGAGGTCCATGCAAGGACTAGAAAGACCTCTAGCATAAAGGGAATGGAAAACCTGGTTTGGGGTAGGCTAAACTGGGAGAGTCCGTCCTCTGTTTGCTTGCTGTTGTGGGGCACACTATAATCAGCATGTCTATACATCATACTTTAACCCAGGCTAACTGGAGCCAAGTTCTCATGTACACTTGCAATGTCAACCTAGCCTCCAAACCCTCTCAGACCTTTCAAAGACACCTTTCACCTACCTTTGGGGTTACTAAGAAATATTCCTAAGTTAGGCAATGCTTTCTATCTGGAGAGAGTCCATCTCCACTTAGGGACACATTTCCCTGGGCTTGTTGTCATTGAAAACTGACTAGAAATTCTAGGAGTCTTAATTTTCTGTCTCCTTAGAACCGTGCCCGAAAAAAGAGGCTGAATATCATCATTGTGTCTGAAGGAGCAATTGACACCCAAAATAAGCCAATCACCTCTGAGAAAATCAAGGAGGTAAGCTGAGATGGACATATGAGTTGTCAGTCAGCAGCATGACTGATGGGAATTGGATTTAGACTATTGACTCAACTTTGAAAACACTGGAAATATGAAGCTTTAGAGCTTCTGGACAGCCGGCATTTCTTATGTCCTGCCTTTAATGGTCCTTACAGCACTGTGACTAATAATAGAAGTGAGACAGCTGGGTGGATAAGGATGTTATCCTTAGAAAGGACCATCTGTTAAGCAAGCTTTGTGCAGAAGGTAAGGAATCTCGACTACTTGGTGGCCAGCACATTCTGAGGACTTCTCTATTTGGAACAATAGACAAGGCAATGCCCACTTTCCCCTCTGCCTTCCTTCTAACCTGGAGCATCACCAATAAGACTGCCTACTTGGCTATGAGTCACTGCCTCCTCATGGCCCTGAGGTAGGGCAGGGTCTGGCAGGCTGCTGCTCTGCTCCTCCTTCGGACTTATGCTTACCAGTCTCTACAGGACTCTGCCTTGTTCACCAGGATGGCAGAATGACTGAGGAAATCACAAAGCAGCCGCTAGGCTGTGTGATTCCAGCCCTGAGTCAGGGCCCACAGGCATTGCTAATCTGGTTTTTACAAGGTTTATTGTTTTTACTTTTATTTTTCTTCTTATTAAGTAGCCTGTGCTGGCCTCAAACTCACCATCCTCTTGCCTCCCCGTTAAAATTGTTAGTATTAAAGGTATGGCCACCAAAGTATTCCTTGCTCCTTGTCTTCTGAATTGCTGAGGACTAGGGCCCGGGAGCTCATGTGCCTGCCAAGTGCTTTACCATTGAACCACACCCGTAGCCTTACAAGCTGAGTTCTTTATCATTGTTAAGTTATGGCTATTTAATGACTCCAGTACCAGATCTGCACCTCAGCACGAAATCATCAACCAGAGCCAGTGAAAGATAGTTAGAAGTATTTACTGATATCTCTTTGTAAAAGCAGGGCAGAGATTTTTTTCTCAGTAAAAAAAAACGAAGATGAACTCTAGAACATTGGACCAAGAAATGTGCACAGATGGATATAGGTGCCCCTATTATATATACAGGGGATCAGATAGTCCCAAGAAGATTCATAGACTCTGTAGATCACCACCAAGTATTGTTGTTGGCATGGATCTGGATTTTCTGGGTTCTTCCCTTCACAGCAGAGCTATACATCATGAAGACAGATAATCATAATATAAATAATACTTTAAATACAACTATTTGAAGTAGCATTTTTGTAGAAAAGTCAGTGTTAATTACCTTTATCTGCTTGTTAGAAGATAAAGATTTTAACTTTAGTAGTCTGAGTGTGGTGATTCCTGTCTATAGTATTCAAACTCAGGATGCTGAGGCAATCGGATTGTAAATTCAAGACCAACCTGGCCTGTTATACCATTTCCAGTAACCAAAACCAAATCAAAACTAACAGCAGCAATATCAAAAAGCTTTTACTTGACAATGAGAAAGCATTATTTGGAAAAACAGAAATGAAGCAATGATCAGTTTTAACACTTATATATCTGAAGACAGAATAGCGGACCCTTTGCTGAGCTGGAATAGTCTCATTACGGTCTGTTCAGTTGTATATTTTCTGATGGACATTTTCTCCACAGCTTGTGGTGAATCATTTGGGCTTTGACACCCGAGTCACCATTCTTGGACATGTCCAACGAGGAGGGACTCCTTCTGCATTCGACAGGATTTTGGTAAGTGGCAATTGAAAGAAATTACTAGATATTCTTATGAGGCCTCTTCAAGAGATATTTAGAAGCACCAGTTTATTGTAGAGGCTGACCAGCAGGCTCATCCCTGGAGACGCTAGTGGCCTGTGTCCTTATTTAAACGTCCTTTGAGACTTACTGACGTAGAATGATTTCCTGGTCTGAGGTCACAGCTGATGTGGGAAGTCAGCTTGCCTACTGAGGGAGAAGACATGGGTGCCAGGAGAGTAAAAGCCAGGCGGTAGGAACCTGGTCTTCCAAGTGCAAGCTTCCAGAAACTAACCCAAGAGGACAGCAGGCATCCTGAGTCCAAACCCTAAATTCCGACATTGCCTGGCAGTTCTTATTAGAGTTATAATCTTATTGTTACAGAGATGAGTAGGAATAACCATGGCAGAAGCAGGGTAGTCCCTGATTAAATCATTGTTTTACAACACAGAAAACAGGCTGAGTATGAAGCCCGGGGTGGTCTCCGGCTCTGTACATGGTGTCTCTCCTGCATAGAATGAGGGGGTGGCTATCTCTTAGTGGTTGCAATTGTCATTTGCAGGCCAGCCGTATGGGAGTGGAGGCTGTCATTGCCTTGCTGGAAGCTACACCCGAGACCCCAGCCTGTGTCGTGTCACTAAATGGAAACCAAGCTGTGCGCCTACCTCTGATGGAGTGTGTGCAAATGGTGAGCTCAGACGCTGGGTTACCATGGACATCGGATGGGCTACCAGTAGGGACAAGTGGGTGATCCAATCTGTGTGTGCACTGCTTCCGATTCAATGAGTACTGGGTTAAAGTGGCCTTTTGGAGGGCAGAATGATACCTCTGGACCATGGCAGCAGGCTTCCTGCATCCTTGGACAGTGAGTAAAAGCTTCTCTGTGGCTTGCCTGTTAGTCATGAGCCTTCTCCACTAAGAACTGGAAAACTCTTAAGAGTCACTGACTGTTGACACCTATAGTCACAGATGGCCCTGTGTAGCTTCTGCGCACCAGAAGCAGCAAGACCCAGTGCAGGAAAATGGTCTTGTCTCGAACTGGTACTGTAGGCGTGACACGCCCATGGTCTTCCAGTGTTATTTTCTGTCCTTTTGTCTCTTAGGACATTCTGATCTGTAAGGGTACCTGGGAACAGGTTCTGATAATGTTGAGATAGGCCGACTCAGTAGACAGAAGTGTCTACTGAGAAATAAAAGAAAAGTGGATTCTACTTTTTGGCTCAGTGTTTTAGTAGATGAGGCAACAGTGGGGCTTGCTTCATTAGAAACTGCTATTACTTTTCATTTTCTCCAATTATTTTTACATGAAATGTTGCAATATTTAGGCTTTTGATTGACTCTGACATATATTCCTTTTATAACACAGAGAGAGAGAGAGAGAGGGAGAGGGAGAGGGAGAGGGAGAGGGAGAGGGAGAGGGAGAGAGAGAGAGAGAGAGAGAGAGAGAGAGAGAGAAGGGACTTGCTGAAAGTAGCCTTAACTTAATTCCAAGAAGCCAATAGGAGCGTGGACAGTTTATGTACATATGTGTGGTTATGTGTGTCTGTGTGTGCAAAGATGGATGTGTGTTCCTGTGTATCCTTGGGGATAGAAGGACAAGAGACATGTCTGAAACTGTATGAGAGGTGATAGGCTTAACACGGTTAGAACCCTGAACCGTGTGTGGTACTTTCCTTTGGAGCTTATTGCTCATCGCTTGTGAGTTCACTGCAGACAAGTAGATTTGTCTGGAGAACAACAACTTGTTGTGTTGGGATAGTCAAGCCATCACATAGAGGTTTCGTTTATAAGCAGCCACAGAGAGCCGCTCGCTGAGAGCCAGCAGTTCACTTAGGCTTGTCAGGATGTCCAGCCCTAAGCTCTCTACCTTAAGGTTGCCTTAGTCCCTCTGTTCCTCTAAGCCACCGTGAAACATACTTGAGTTCTACAGTCTTCAGTGAGGTGTTAAGCTAGCTAGCTGTGTTTTTCTTTTTCCTTATTTGAGCTAGATTATGGAATAATCAGATATTTTATTAAGAGACCCATTTCCATGAACTTTGCCTTTGTGGAAATCATTTTTATGATCTTGTGGCCATCCACTAGCAGCAGGTGTCACCTCCTCTTCCTTGGGGCTCTAACCTTACAGCTAAGTCAGCTGTCAGCTTGGGGGCCGCTAACAATCCAGTGGGGTCAGACTGAAGGTCCAGCCATAGAGCATTGAAGGCTTGATTCATTCTTAATTTTTTTTTTTAAAGACCCAGGATGTACAGAAGGCAATGGATGAAAGGAGATTTAAGGAAGCTGTAAAACTCAGAGGAAGGTAAGTTATCATGAATAAGACTCTATTTATTAGAAATTTAGGTCCTTGTTTGGTCACTGAGGCTTAATCCTAATATAAGAATTTAAAAGAGTCTGGGGCTGAAGCCCAGCAGTTACAAGCACAACCCACGTTCAGTTCCCAGAACCCATGTACCTTAGCTCATAATAGCTCATAACTCCAGCTCCAGGGAAATCAGATGCCCTCTTCTGGTCCCCACAGGCACCTCACAAAGTCATTTTTCTCTTTAGGAATTTTGAGGGAAACCTGAACACTTACAAGCGTCTTGCCATTAAGCTGCCTGATGACAAGATCCTCAAGGTAGGTATCCAGCTGCCATCAATGCCCCAGTCTCCTGAGCAGCCTAGGTATCTCCCCCTAATCCCCATCCCCAGTGTAGGTCCCTAGAAACTTATCTTCACCTCTCCATTGTGATCTTAATCCTGACATGATCACCTCCTGCAAAACATGGCATAGTATGACCCCTTATAAATGTGCAACAGGTTGGGGCTTGTGCCCATCTGATGACTTGGCATTACCCTGATCTCTTTTCAGAGCAATTGTAATATAGCCATCATCAACGTAGGGGCACCTGCCGCCGGAATGAATGCAGCCGTGCGCTCTGCTGTTCGGGTCGGGATTGCAGACGGCCACAAGATGTTTGCCATTTATGATGGCTTTGATGGCTTCGCCAAAGGCCAAGTGAGTCTCCCAGGAGTCCCTAGGGAAGTTAAAATGTTATTGTATTTGGGGAGGCCAGCCTCCCCGAGGCACCTACTAAATCAGGATTCTTGGTGGTGTGACTATGCCAATTACTGATTTGAGGGTTAAGGGTTACCTTCCACTTAGGACCCCTGCCCTAAGTTAAGTTCTAAGCCGTTACATAAAGCTCAGGGTGTCCTGTATTTTCAGATTTTCTCAAAAGGCCCAAAGGCACAGTAATCCAGTGATGCTCATGTCACAGGCTATTGTGTTAAATTTGGGAGCAAAATTCATGTCATCCAAACCAGCATACACCAGAACTCCGTGAAATAAAACCTTAAAAAAAAAAAAAACCTCTAATTCTAAAAACACAAGCAATGTTGGGCTTATGTAGCTCAGCAGTAGAATACTTTCCTAGCACATAAGGCTCTGGGTTCTATCCCCAGCACTGACAGAACAGCAACAATTGCCAACAGAGGTCTGGAGCATTCACTGTTTTCCTTTTGTCGCATATGATTCGCATGTATTCATCCTTTTGACCTCCCACTACATCTAAGGTCTTTTTACTATTTTTTTCTTATGAGAGAAGTGAGGAGTAGAAATACATTGACTCATTTGCTACAGTTCTCATGATGGAGGATTTGAAACAGGATGGGGAGGCATGTCTGTACTCTGAACCCAGAGCTGCTGTAGTTTGCACTACAACTGGTCGATACCTCTGTCAGTTTGTAACCCTGTGGAATTAATTAGACATGTGTGCAAAACAGACTAAAACCCACATCTTTGCAGGCTCTATATTTTGGAGGAGACGACAGTAAGACTACACTAGCAAGCCATATCTCTTATTTATAAGACAGGGAAATAAGCTAGGGCAATATTTACAAGAGGCGACAGGGTCTCCTGGGCTCTGCATGAGTTTCATGCAACAGGTGCTCAGGGGAAGCCGATCTCCCACTAATGAGTAAGTGGGACAAAGAGAAAACATTGGTTCATTCCAGTCAGATGACATGATACAAAGCCCCTGGGATTGGATCTGCCCATGTTTTAGGATAATAAGAGCCAGGGTAGGGAGGGATAGGAAGGAACCAGAAGGGGAGAACAAAGCAGGAGCCAGGTTATCTGTAGGGATTTGATTTTCTGGCTAAGTAAGGTGGAAGGCTCGTAGGTGGGGCTAGCACATACTGGCACATCTTCTCTCTGATGTCTAGTGGAGGCAGGAGGCAAGCAGACTAGGTGGACTATAAAATCATTTTACAGTTACTGCAAGAAGTGTCAGAGGCAACTGTGGAGACAGTGAGATGCCTTCAAGGATCAGGCTCCATTTTGAAGTCTCACACAATACAGATTGTTCATGATGTATGTGCAGATGACACAAAGCTAGCCATAGTCTATTGAGTTTCAGTTGACCAAAGGAAAGGGCTAGAAATGGAATTTATAGAGTCAAGAAAATAGAGCCTGTGCTCGTTCTCCAAGAACTCTGAGAGTTGAAGTTGGAAATGCCAAGTTGAGGGATGTCTATAACTTTCCCAAAGATCCTACCAGGATCCAGTAATAGAAGTTCAGCAAAAATCGCATGACTGGAAGCTTGCAGACCTGGAGTTTTGGCCCAGCGCCTTCTGCTCTGTAGCTAACCCATGCCTCACCTAACATGGGAATCACCCCCAGCTGATTAAACTTCGTCTACTTAGCCAAGCTGTATTTGCATTTCTCCCTTTATTCTATTCTTTGTCTTCTTTGCTAAATTGTTTTAACCTTTGCCAATTTAAAAACCATGGTATTCTTTTTTTTTTTCTTTACTAGTGAAAGATTCTGGCCACCTAAGGTGTCCACCCAGGACATGTGCCTTGGGTTAGGGTGTGAGTGTCCCCCATAGGCAGGGAAGGAGTACTCTTACTGAGGCCCAGCATTTTGTTTAACCTTAGAAGGGCATGTCATATCTTGGCTGAGTCAGCACTGCAGTTCAGAAACTGACCAGCAGCCTTACCCATCTCTGTGGGAATTCAGCCTGTGAGAGTATAGAACCCTAGGTTTTATGCAGAGCCTTCCAGTTCTGCCTTTTCTTCCTCACTGCAGCTGTCTGACTCTGTGCTTGAACACTAGATCAAAGAAATCAGCTGGGGAGACGTCGGAGGTTGGACGGGACAAGGAGGGTCCATTCTTGGGACAAAACGGTAATTTTAAAAATTTTAACTCTTGGACAAGTTCTTTTTATTTCGTTTTCATTTTGTGTATATGAGTGTTTTGCCTGTATGTATGTCTATGTGCTACATGAGAGATCAATGGATCACCTGGAACTGGAACTAAAGATGGTTGTTAGCTGCCATGTGGGTTCTGGGAACCAAAACCTGGTCCTTTGCAAGAGCAGCAAGTGCTCCTATCTCCTGGGTCATCGGACAGTTCTTAACAAAGAGGGAAGAGGAACATTCTACAGAGAGTGGCTGGATGCTGATTCCTAATATAGCAGGGACACCCATCTGCCATTGCCCCAGGAACCTCAATTGTATTTTAGGGAGCTGAGAATTAATTTTAGTGCTAGGAAACAGAGGGCAGAGATTAGGGTGCACATGTAGCTGAGTGGTTAGGGTGTTTGCCTAGCAGCTGTGAAGCCTCAGGTTCAATCCCCAGTACTTAAACAGAAGTTCAGTACCTTGTCCCCCTCCCCCCCACCCCCCAGCCCCATTAACTCTCTATTTCTATCTATCTGAAGAGCAAAACAACATGTGGAAAGCTTTTGTCCCACTCTGGTGTTAAGAATGAGTGATGGTTATGAAGGGGTCTTAGTTAGGGTCTCCATTTCTGTGAAGAAACACAATGACCATGGCAACGTTTATAAAAGCAAACATTTAGTTGGGGCTGGTCTAGAGTTTCAGAGGTTTAGTCCATTATCATCATAGCAGGAGGCATGGAAACATACAGGAAGTCAAGGTGTTGGAGAAGGAGCATCTTGAACCGAAGGCTACCAGGAGAGATTTGCCTTCTCGGACAACTAGGAGGAAGCTCTCTTCCTCAATGTGTGTAGCCTGAGCATAGGAGGAGACCTCCAAAGACCACCCCCACAGTGACACACTTCTTCCAACAAGGCCACACTTCCTAATAGTATTGTTCCCTATTGGCCAAGCATATTCAAACCACCACAGAAGGTGTCATGAACTGTGCCACTGTACCAACAAGCACTTATTACAGCCTTCTAGGGGCAGTATGGCTTGTCTGGCTATAACAGACCTGAGCCACACAGTGACTCCAAGCTCATTTGAACAGCTGAAGAAAACTCCTGATCAATGCTAAAATAAAATGTTTTTCTGATTCACAAAATCCTTCGTTAGCTATGTACTTGGGATTAAGGCAGTTTTAACAAAGTGTGTTATGTCAGATTCAACCTCGATTTATCTTTGGTGATTTCCAGGATGCAGGTATCAATACCAGCCACTACGGTACCTTGCATCTGTCATATGGAAAAGAAACAATTTCTAGGATTTGTCATTGTGGATAATATCTGAGAAGAATCAAGTCAATTTCTCTGCTTGTTTCAATATCAAGGCTTCTAGTGCCAGATAGACAGATGGGGATTCCCCAGGGTGGCTTGCCCAGCCTTCTGGGTTGCTTCTCTGTGCCATGGTGTTGGTGCTTTGGATGGCAAAGCCTCAATAGACTGGAGATTATGCAAACAGACTCCCTGGGCCTCTGTAGAGAGGCAGCCCGGCTGCAGGCCCAGGTGTGCTTTATGGAAGGCAACCTGGGCATCACTCGAGCAGTGTGGGATGAGCTGACAGCTTGAGATACTTGCTGAAGATGTCAAGTTTGCCATGTTCACTTGCTACAGTTTTCCATATTGGAATAGCTTCATCTTAGTCTACCAACAGTATAGCATTTAGTTTTTTCTTTATGCATGAAAGAAAGATTATGGGTGGTTGTCAGATAAAACATTAGAGTGGGGCATAAACAAGTTTCCTTTGCTTAGTAGTGTCCCTGCTGACTGGCTGTCATTTAAAGTAGGTGATAATATAGAAGTGGAATGTGGGTGGATATGGTTTTAAAGAAAAATAAATGGATATCTATATAAAGGTTTCATATATATATATATATGTATGTGTGTGTGTGTATGAATGTGTATTGTATATAATTTATATATCTAATTATATTATTTAATATATATTACTTATATATACATAAATATATATTAAATACATTATATATAAAATACATACATATACACATATCTACATATACATATATGCAAAGGTATGTAATTTAGAAATGGAAGTTTCCAAGAATAAATGATTACTCTTAATGACTGTAAGCTAATATGTATTTTCTTTTTTCTCACAAGCCTTTTTGAGAAAGAGCATTAGGTACCTCAGTCTTTTCTGGAATTTACTATTTTGCTTGTAGCCTAGGATGGTCTTGAACTCAAGAAACCTCCTACCTCCATCTTGAATATTCAAATTTCAGGTGTACACTGCCATATCATTCTTCCAGAGTGGTACTATTTCTATCTGTTAGTCTGTATGCTAATTTATTTATTGCAGTTGTATGGATTGAACTTAGGGCAACCATTGGGCTAAGTCCCCAGTCCTCCTACTTTTGAAAAAACGCTCTTTTGGACATGATACCTTGCCACTCCTGCCTTAAGTGATCATTCTCCAGGACTTTACTGTCTTGGTGCTGTCAGCTGTGGAGTCTGGGGAAAGTAGCCTCACTGCCAACTGTACCTTTCACGCCACAGAATTCAGACACGAGTGGAAGGTGGGAGAAGAGACATCAGCAGTGGGTAGACTGATTTCTAAGAACTTTGGCAGCTTACCTCTTGATCTGTCTGTCTTCAGCACCCTACCTGGAAAGTACTTGGAGAAGATTGCAGAACAGATGCATTCCCATAGTATCAATGCCCTTCTGATCATTGGTGGATTTGAGGTACATTATTGTGTGTCTGTCTCCCTGATTCTTGGTTCTGGAGGTGTGATTGGTAGCCCTATGTTTGCATCACAGATACCCCATCTTAATGGCTATTCCTCAGGAACTGGGGTTTTAATACAGAGCCCCTGTTGCCCTGAAATATAGAATAGCAGAGCAGTGAGATGTAGCATACAACTAGCCCAGTTCTGATAAAGTAAATTAACCGAGTTTGTTCATTCTGCTAAAAATAATTTTGATGTTTTCTGATTTGTTATCAATCTGTAGATATAATTCCATATTTGCCATTTGAGATATACTGCTGATTTAGAAAGGAAGGAGGTTATATGGTTAATGTTCACTTCAGATTTTTTTTTTTAAAAAAAGTCATATATTGGACTGTAGTCCTTAATTACAACCTATTCAATGGGGACGAATGTCACAGAAATCTTAAAGAATTTACCTAAAGAAAGATAGGAACTTCACATAACCAGACTCAAAATTCTAAGAGAGTTAGTCTTAGTACTGTATACTAATACCCCTTCTCCCCTTTATGCCCGGGAAGCTGTTTGTCCTTGTCTGTGCTCATAACACTTTTGTGTTGGTTCTTCTAGTGGTACCCGGTCTCCTTACTGTGTACCCTGTGCACTGTATACTTCCTGTGCTTGCTCGTTCCTGGCCACATGCTGTTCACGCCCCTCTCTCCCTCCCCTGGCCCTGCAATCACACAGACTTATCTGACAGGCCTACCTGGGACTCCTAGAGCTGGCAGCTGCCCGGGAGAAACATGAGGCGTTCTGTGTCCCCATGATTATGGTTCCTGCTACTGTCTCCAACAATGTGCCAGGTTCCGATTTCAGCATCGGGGCAGACACGGCTCTGAACACTATCACAGACGTAAGTGCGGGTGTGCCAGCAAAGCAGGTGCAGCTGACGCTAACCCGAGGCCTGGACCCTTTTATCTACCAGTACACTAGAAATAGACTTTTACCAATTGGATACCTAAATATTTTTGTTTCAAGAAAGCACATTTTAAAAGTTCCTTTTGGATTCTGAAAACTCTTAATGTAATTGCCCCCACCCCAGTTTTTCTCATGGTGTCTTCCATGTAGCTGCAAGCTTGACTTGACTCCATTAGCAAGATCTGTGGAGTAACAGACAGCCCATCCTGGCTCAAGCCATGCTAGACCACTGTGTTTTCTGATCAGATACTCAACTAAATGTAGGGTTTTTAAGTTGTGGCCAAATGTAATTTTCTTTAAGCCTATATAGCCTCTACATGTTGCACTTAAATCCTGTGTCCAACATTGTCTACTTGATGTTTAAGTGTAGAAACTGAACCAAATATTTTATAATGTTATTCCATGACCAACTATGGACACTTCGCTAGGTTTTTGGCTATGGTTGTTACTGTTGTTTTTTCCCCCTCTATAAATTGATAATCTTAAATTGTGTCAAAAATATTGATTTCTTATTATTTTTCTTTTTGCAAAAAAAGTAGTTACAAAATATACACACATTTTAGTGTTGCATTTATAAATTATACTTGTTAATTCCTATGGGAGTTTAATATTACTAAGTCAGAATTCTAAAATTTTAATTAGTAACCTTCAAGTTATTTTCTACGGGAGACCTAATTCTTATACATAATTTTGTAGGATTTTGTTTTCTCCTAAGCTTCGGACACCAAACTCATTTCTAGTACTGGTAAATAAAAGTTCCAATGCTTTTACAATAAAGCTTACAGTGGTAAGTAACGCTTAGCACTGATTTCTTGCTTTTCTGAATGGCCAAACTGTTCTTCCCTATGCTTACTGAATCCAGGTGCCTAGTGTCTGCTTTGTCTATTCCCAGTCACTAATGCCTCCCGTCTGTTGCATGTGCTGTCTGGTGACTGTCATTTATTGCTTCTGTCGCTGTGGTTGATGGATTCAGGTTCTTGGTGGATCTGTCATCCTTTGTGAATGGAAAGAAGGGTGTCTGTCACAAAATGGATTGGGATCCATGGCTTCGTGCATCCCAGGTGCTAAATTACAGTATACAGTTTACATGGAACAATTTATAGGGGAAGCAATTAAGAGTATCTCTTTCATAAGCTCTTTGTCATCTAAGCAAGAAGCCTACCTGCATCTGTATCTAAGCAGTAGCCCGAGGACAGCATGTGCCCTAGAGCAACTAGATATCAATGTGGCCTAGTCAAAAAAACAAGCAAGCAAGCAAGCAAGCAAACAAACAACCATAAACTAATTTAAAGTAATATGAGACTTATTTTGGCAAGTTAGTTTTGAAACTGTATTCTGTGGCTTCACACATGAACTTTGAGGATGATGACAGCATCCTGTCAAAACATTGAATGGTTGGACAGTCCTGCATACTGTCATTTGCAGTTTAGTGGGAGCCTGGGCGAATGCCAGCCAAGGTGGGTAATTTATCTCCTTGTGGATATTCAGTGTGCACTGTCAGACATGAAGGGAAGATTCTCTCTTTTTATTATAATGTCCTCATAATCTATGATTCTTAGCTGCAAAGCTAGTAGTTGTTTTGTCCCAGATTTGAATATACTATAAATATATAGTGTATTGAAAATTTGAAGCTCAAAATAGAGAGGAGGGGAAAGGTTATCTACTCCCTTTTCCTGTTACTCCCTTTAGAGGGATTTTGTACTGTTTTTTTTTCTCTTTAATCTCTTTTTCTTCTTACTCATTTGCGTTTCTCAAAGCCAGTGGTAGTATGGGAGAATGAAAGCTGAATAGGAGGTAGGTGGCCATTCCTGAGGGCTTCAGGCTCGCTCATGTGTGGTAAGTCAGTGTCTTTTTTTTTTTTTTTTTTTTTTGCTGCTGCTGCTTTTTGTTCTGATGCACCAGGGAGCTGGGTCTTCTCAGCTCTGTGATCTCAAGGTGGGTGGCTGAAGCCAGGTCGGTTGAGATAATCTTGGTGGAGGTTTTTGTTGCTCTGGAGCAGATAGCAGTGTGAGGATAATACAGAGTCCCTTTGTGTGTATGTCCCGAGGGTAAAATGACTAGAACATGAACAGGTATGAAGGAAAAGTGTTAATTCTAATAGTTTGAAGTTGGACCTGAATTTACTAGCCGACAGGGTGAAAGAAAGCTGTCACTGTGTCTAGGAAAAGAGGACCTTAGGGGACTCTACTGGAAACACCTCGTACTGCTGCATTTAGGAAGGCCCTGGAAGAGAGCTGACAGGGAGTTGAGAGTGCCACCTAACCTTACTGTGTCACTTGAAACAGGTATCCAAGAGAACAGGTATCCAATAAGTCACTTGTATCTTCACTCAAATCTAGAGGATAATAACCGCTTACCCAGTCTGGATAATATGTCACAGTCCTGGATAACATGTCCTGGATAACAGCTCATAGTCCATGGCTGTCTCCCAGAACAAACCAACTGTCCCCTTAGGTTTGTGGGCGGTGGGGGCGGAGAGGGGGCAGTAAGGCAGTTCTTAGCCTTTCCTGATTACACATCTAGTGGACCGCTGCAATGATGAAGGGCATTTTGCATCATCAGAGGTAGGAGAGAGGAGTTCCTCATGTGCTATGGGTGGACATCAGGAATGCTGTTCACAGTGTTGGGGACTGTCTCCACCACACGGGCAACTCAGTCTCAGAATACCTACCGTTTTGAGGTGAGAAAGCCTGAGCTTCTCCTGTCTGATCAAACACTGTTGCCTTTGAGTGTTAACCATCGCCCTCACAAATCCTTTCCTCCCCACCAGCAATAATACTCAGGTATGCGCGCGTCCCTTGGTCCCTTGAATGGATCTCAGTATCTGCAAGGTAATAGATGAGTTTTTGGGCCGCATGTCAAAACAGGCATGTCAGAAGTCTGGTGTTGGGGTACTGAGTGAGGCTCTTCAGCGGGACTTGGTTTTATTCCTTACCATCAGCATCGAGCTTTGTTCTAGTCAAAAAACGCAACCAAGACATGCTAACTGGGAGCTGACCCTGAACTCCAGGACGATGACATGACTACAGCTCTGAGGGAGTCCCAAATTGTGAAGACCTGGATATAGAACACTGACTGTTGGTCCCTATAACTGTGTACAATCCCTAGTTGCAGCGTGGTCAGTAAAAATGTCTAAGGTGGCTTTATTGGCGTATTCAAAGTTGCTGGTGCCCCCGGCAGGATCTACAAGTAAGACTTTCTGGATGGTTTCTTCAGAGTTTGCTACTTTTCTTGGGTACAGTTTCCCTCTCTGAGCTTCACTTTCAGTTGGTTAGAGAGCAAAGAAAGCCCTTGCAACAATATAGCTGTCGCCAACAATATCAGAATGAAGTTAAGACATTAACCTCCTGCCCTTCTCACCTGCCCTTCTCATACACCCCTGACCCCCAAACCCCCTCCTTCAAGCCCACAGGTAAAGGCTCTGGTCTGTCAGGCATATTGCCTACTCCCCTCTGACTTCCAGTGGGAGGCCTCTCAAAGACAAGGCTTCTTTCTGTACAATTTATTCCTAATGAATACCTAGCAAAGATAGTCCTCAGCAAATAGAAATATTTTCCTGGAAAGATCTGAGGAGCCTAGTAACTGTGTGGGGCACTGACCAATGGGTGTATCCAGATGGTTTTCACATTAGGCACCATTTTGAATGCAATCAGTTGTAACAACAATCAATTAGCACAACATGGCTGAACTGAAGCACCTGGAGAGCAACCAAAAGACTCAGTGCCAACTGTGGGTGGAGGTGGAGGTCTGGTTGTGTTGGAAACAAAAGAAACTTTGTCACTGGCCACTGTTGGCTGCCCTGTCTGACCTATTGACTGACATACCAAAGACTAACATACCCCAGGTCCATGATCCACTGTCCAGAATCCTTGGAGCACACAGGTTTTAAATGTCAGGGTGATTTGGTTGCAGGAAGAGGGTATAGAAATGCAACATTTATCTAGCTGCCTTGTGGGGAGGCAGAGTCCTGTGCTGTATTTAAACAATAATTCTGCAGCAACCTGTATACTGATGATTATATTATACTAAGAAAGATAAATAAGACTCATGGGTCAGACTTGCCATCCACAGTGGTCTAAAATACCCTACATACTCTGTTGGGAGCTGCCTGGATTCCGGAACTGTGGGTGAGTAGACCTGTACCCTCCCACTAACCTGCCTTTAATATCTGAGGCAGGTATTGGAAACCTCTGTATACCAACTGGTAGCCTTCTTTGACTACCAAGTCAGACATTTTAATTATCACTTTGAAGCAGTGCCTGAGGTTCCAAATGATTTATCTTGCTTCATGTAAGCCAAAGGCCCAGGAAGGATGTGCCCTCTAAGAGGGAGACACATATTTCTAACAGGGAGGAGAGGGGCACGCAGACGCTGCTGTGGGTCCTGGGGTGGACCTGCAGGTAATGTAAAGTGCATGTCTCTTTCTGTCAGCCGTTGGTGGTGGTGTAGTGAACCAGCTGCATTGGTGATACCAGTCATTTGATGTTATCCTTGCGGCCCCGTGTCCCTCCCCAACTCTCCACCTCCACCTAAAGAAGTGTTGGGATGGGATTTGCGCTGAAAGGACCCAACCTCATTTTCTTTCCCTTCCACCTCTGTGATGCTGAGAAAGAAGCACCAGTTCCATCTAATGACTAACCCACGATGCACTCTGTTCCCTCGGCCTGCTGCCTGCTTTGCTGCCTGCTTTGCACCACCTTGACTAGCCACTTGTGTCTTCTTCCTGCGGGACAAGAAGGACAAGGCTGAGGGATGCACCTAGTGGCCCATGACTAGTTGAACCATGCCCTGCACCTGCTCAGATGCCAATCCTGGCCTCTCATGGGCTCTGCTGACCCATGTGGACCAACTTCCCACTGGTTACTTAGTTCCCTCCCTGTCACATCCCTGGAGTTACTGTCCGCACTCAGTGACTTGGCAAGTGATGTACAGGCACCTCACTAACTGCTATGGCCCTGCTGCTTCAGGGTTTTCACGGTGCCGTCATACTTTCTGAGGCTCGAAACAACCACGAGGAGTTTTGCATCCCAATGTGTGTTTTGCCTGCCACTATTAGCAATGATATCCCTGGCTCAGACATAAGTATCGGTTCTGATACTGGCCTGAATGTGGTTGTCCAGGTAAGAGAACTTCTGCTTCAATTCTTACTTTGCTTTGCCTGAACGAGGTTTTTTTCTTCTGTGCTTAGCCCTCCTGACAGCTCAAACTCCCAACTTGTAGTCTTTAACCTTCACCTGTCTGATCTTAACTAGAAATTGAAAAATATACCCTTTAATGTTCTTCAGAGGGAATAAGCCAAAACATGTCTTTACCACTTGGTAAATAATAATATAATATAATAATAATATTATTATTATTTAATAATAATTACCTTTGGTAATAGGATAGTGTTTCCTAGTTTCTCATGGTGTGAGTACTTGTCTTTTTTAACTCAACATAAAATGCTCTACGCAGGCCTCTCTGTAGTGTTTCTGTACCATCTGAGCAGGAGAGCTGTGGAGATCACATCTTTTAAGGTCAGCTGCTTCTATCCAAAATCCCGTTGTTAGAGTTGAGGTGTTGGGGGAAGGTTACTGAACAAGTGTCGGGAGTGAGCACAAAGGATTGGATCTAGCTACCCTCTAAGTAAGTATAAGAATCCCCAGAGTAAGCACGGTCAATATAAATGTTCAAACTAAGGAGCCTGAGGCTTACAAAGACTTCCCAGTGAGATGAGAGGCATTCTAGGAGACAAAGTCACTCTCTGAGAGGAAGGTGACTTCATCTGCTGCACATGGTGTGGAGAGATGGACCAGCAGGTGCTCAGTGTGGTACTGGTGTCTACATTTGTAACACAGGTAATGAACTGAATGCATCCTCCTTCTGAGACAGGAGGATGTCTGCTAGCTCCCAGAGTCCTTTCCAGTTATCTAACAGCAGATCGGACAGTGGCCAAGTATGTAGGTTGACTTCTTATTATTCTCAGTTCTTTCCACCCTGACCCAACGGCAACAAGCTGATCTCTTTTTTAAAATGTTCACATTCAAGTTGGCACTAGAACAGTGCTTTTCAACCTGTGGATCGCGACCCCCAGGTAGTATCACATATCAGCTATTCTGTATATCATATATTTACATTGTCATTCATAACACTAGCAAAATTACAGTTACAAAGTAGTAAGGAAATAATTTTATGTTTGGGGGTCACCATAACACAAGGAACTCCATTAAAGCATCACAGAGTTAGGAATGTTGCAAACTACTGTTTTGGAGTTTACAGTGAGTTTTAAACATTAGAGAGATTCCTTATATCCCAAGTTCTTTCCTCTAAGTTAAATTTTGGCAGGAAAAAGGGGGAGGTGCCTAGTTGGGCCAAGCATCCGAATCTTCCACTAAGATCTTAGCATGGAACTATTAAATAGATTGACATACTCTAAGTATGTCCCTTGTAACCTGTCTGTTGACATAGCTTATAAGCAATGTGGAAGCTCCCCTAAACCCCTACTCACCCACCCTAGAGTCTAATGACTTTGCATGTTAAATAGAATTACAAAGAAGCCTGTAGATTGAACCCTAGTCACTGAATGCCTTAAGGCCCAGACACAGTCCTGAGCTTTCCCCTCTAAAACCTCTGTTGACAGGTGATATCACAGGTAGAAGTCCTAGATGACCCAACATGCTTCATCTTAGACACTGGCTGGAACCATATTGGCTTCACTGACAGGGAAATGGGGATCTGTCAGTTGTCTCTGCCAGCACATAGTAGGACAGGATTCCCCCTGCCTACTCTCCAGCCCCTTCCCTATCTGGCCACCTGAGTTCTTCAGTAAGTACTCTGAAAGAATACAAGTTATGGGCTCAGGTGCAAAGAGGGAAGGGCATGTCTTATCTTGTTAATAAGACATGATTGCACTCACATTAATTAATATAACCCTCAAAAAAAGATCTAACTCTGTGGCAGACTCCACCTTACCATCTCACCCTTCAACTATGTCTTTGAAAAGACAAGTGTGTGTAGCGGACTGGCCATGATGTTGACACTGTAGCTTGACATTCTTCGTCCAGCAGCACTCCTCACAGAGGCCTCCCCCAGAGAAACACCACTCTATGCCTTTGGAGTTCGATGAACTTGCCTATGAGGCAGTTGTTGTAGCATAAGAGGCATGAGCCCTAAATAGTTACCCTCTTGACCAAAAGTCAGGGAATCCTCTGGGTGTGTCACTAGCATGTGGCAGATGGCCTTGGTATACTGGCTTTTTCTATGTCAGTACTGCTTTTAGTAATTAAGTGAGACAGGCAAGGATGGCTTACTATTTTTAGAAGGAGCTGATTGAAGTCTTCAGGTGCAGCCTGGGTAATGAAAGAGTACTGCAAAGGAGTGTTTGTAGGCTCCAGGCAAAGGCAGACCATCCTAAACCCCTGTTGTTGTTGTTGTTGTTTTTTAGCCAGGGGTAAGCAGAAAGCCTGGACTTTGTCGATGTCAGGTTTATTCTAATCAGTTTGCTTATGTCTCATCAACAACCCATTTGGATCAGAGTGTAGAGATCTGTATTAGCAGTCCTTGGGACCAAAAGGTTCTTTCTTAGTAATATTCTTGAATCATTAAGTGACTGCAACATATTTTTCTGGATTAGTGGGCAATGGAACGGGCATTTGGGAAAGATTAAAGTAGAACATTAACCTGTGTAGTTTTGTTCCCTCAGGGGACTGGGCACTTACCTCAGCATAGCCTTCCATTCTGATCTGCACTCTTCCTTCACTTGTAGGATGGCTCTGTAACAAAGACCACGCTGTGACCCTTTCAGTACTTGAGTGCCACCGAGAGATGTTCAGTACAACATGGATTCCCCTTCCTTTGTTACATCCCTGTTTCTAGAGAATCCAGGGCTTCCCACTCACCAAAGCACATACAAGAGGATTCAGTAGAGAAATTACAGATTGGAATATTTTTCTTAAAACTCATGTTTGGTCATAAGCATGATGACATGATAAGTATAACTCAAAGTGATCATGTAAAAATTCCAAATGGCTCTTTTGACTTTGGTGCAGACCCACTTCCAGCGTCCCCTACAGATCTATGACTGTTGCAGTCCCAGGGCCCCTTCACCCCCATGATGTCACTCTCCTCTTTTCTCCAGACTGTTGATGGGTAGGCCAAATAGCTCAGTCACTTTTCTTTTCAGTGTTAAGCATCTTCTGTGTTGGTGGTACAGCTGGCTGGGACAGGTACTATAGTACCTATCCTCCATTCAACCCGCCCAGGATTCCTGTCCTCCAAGGACTCAATCTGGAGAGGAAATATCCAAATCTAATAAGCACACTTTTCAGGAAGACATACTGGGGTGAAGAGAGGACATGGAGTCACGAGAGCCCCCACCAGAGGGACTGTCCAGTCCTGGAGGTCACATAGTGTCTTCCTGAGGAAATGGCTTTCTAACTGGGTCACAGGTTGCAGATAAGAGAGCCAGAATGAGCCTGAGTTAGTTACTTAGAGTGGTTGTAATACATGGCTATATACTTGGTGTTAACCTCACAGCCATTTCCTCACAGCTGTGAGGGACATAAGTCATGGAACTGAAGTCAAGGCGTGAGCTCTAGGGGAGAGCCTGTCCCTGTATCTTTTGAGTTCGAAACCTGTCTCCCTGGCAGATCATGAACCCTAACCTCTGTTGCATCCTCTCAGCTAGCACAAAGTCTCTCTTTCCTTTGTGTAGTTTCTGTGCCCTGGCTTCTTTTGCCCCCTTTACAATGACATAGTGACAACCAAGACTCTCTTAGATGATCCAAAATAATCCCACCTCAAGATGTATAAGAGGGGTTCCAGGAATAATGAATGGAATGTCTTTGGGGTCTTCTATATATAGTTCTTCATTGTGCCTGGAGACGACTGTGAAGGTCCAGGGAGGCTCAAGAGAGCAGCATATCTCTGAGCTAGGAGCTGGACAGGGTGCTGGGGATTGACAGCGCTGTGCATCCCATAGAAAGACTTTGAGGCATAATTACAAGCAGTGCTGAGGGGTTTTAAAGAAGCCAAGGGCACAGTCAAGTTTGGATTGTACGTATAGATTTCAGTTTCCCCGGAACAGAACACATGCTGAGCATGAGGTGGAAGGCTTTCACTGATTTCTGAGGAAATGATTGGCACCTGCACTGCTGCCATGGGTGTGAAGCGGTGGGTGGTTCTTAGCTCTTCTTGAAGGTCCTGAACCTGGGCCCTTTAGGAGAATGGTTGGCAGTACCTTTCAATATGAAGAATCCCTGGAAGATGTCTCTGGGTGCCTTTGTCTGAGAAGCTGTTCTCTTTGGACAAAGGTACCCTTTAAGAAAGACCCAAGGATATACCCAAGATAAACAAAATGTCAAAAGTCACAAAGAGCTTCTCACAACGAGATATCAGAAAAGTAAAGAGAACAAATTGGAAGTTAGATAATCAACATTCCCACAGAAATATAAATTCACATCAGCTAAATATTGACTTGCAAAAAAAAAGATCCTTTCAGCAAAGACATAGTCAAAGAGCACAGGAAGTGAGCTGACTTGAATGACTAGTCTCCAGGGTAATGGCTTAGCCAGGGCCCCACCTCGGGTGATCACAGAGATTCTGACAGGCTGCATCTGAGCAGTTTTTACCACTGTACCTCTCTGTAGCCAATGCTTGCTTCTGCACGTGGTGGAGGGATGTGCTTCAGCTTGTGGTGGAGAACTGGCCCTGGGCTGGTGCACATATGGCACTAGCCAAGGTCCTGGATTCAAATGACGAATCTCTGTGTCTGTAACTAGACGTGTGACCGCATTAAACAGTCAGCCAGTGGGACCAAGCGCCGGGTGTTCATCATTGAGACCATGGGCGGATACTGTGGCTACTTGGCCAACATGGGGGGACTTGCTTCAGGAGCTGATGCTGCCTACATCTTTGAAGAGCCCTTTGACATCCGAGATTTGCAGGTATGTCAATGGCTGCACGACATGCCTGCTTGGCTCCCAGAGCACTTCATTCAGCAATGCTGCATAAAGAACCTCATTTACTGGCTCCCCACTAGTTTTTTTTGAAGGCCGGCGATTGGTGTTGCAAAACATTGCAAGCTGTTCATTTTTCAGTTGCCAGCTTCAAGTCCAGATGCTTGGACTCAAGTCCTAGGAACTCTTTGGCTAGGTGACCATCACTAGGTAGGGTTTGAGGGCCCTTCATTTGTATGTGTGTTGATTATTTCATTTATTTTTATTTTGTGAGTATGTGTGTATGTGCACACCCTCAGGGGACAGAAGAGGGTGATAGATCCCCTCAAACTGGAATTAAGGATGGTTGTAAACCATCATCTGGGTGCTGAGAATAGGAGCTGGGTCTTCTGCAATTCCAGCAAAGTGCTTTTAGGGGGCTTAACACACACACTGTCTGTCTGTCTGTCTGTCTGTCTCTCTCTCTCTCTCTTTCTTCCTCCCTCCCTCCCTCCCTTCCTCCTTCCCTCCCTCCCTTCTTCCCTCCTTCCCTCCCTCCTTCCCTCTCTCTCTCAGTCTCTCTCTCTCTCTCTCTCACACACACACACACACACACACACACACACACACCACACATTCTGTTTTATATGTATGTATGCATTTGTAAATGATTCATTATTTTGAGAAAAATGAAATGCATTCCCAATATTTGGTATAAGTCATTTAAAGAGACTTATGTCATGGGACCTGATGTTTTGAACAGCATCCCTTAGGCCTTTTGAAATATTGCCATTTTCTCACATTTGTTTCCCATTGTTATGATAAAATATCCAGGCCAAAGCAACTTAAGGGAGAAGGGGATTATTTCACTGATAGTTCCAGGTTATGGTCTATATAGACGTCAACATAGCTGGAACTGGAAGCTGCAAATCACATGTAGTCAAAAGCATAAGGAGAAGACATGCATATATGTTAGTGCTCAGCTTAGTATCTCCTGCTTATACTTCAGAATCCCCTTCTTGGGAAATGATGCCATCCACAATGAGTGCCTCTTCCCACCACAGTTAACATAATCAAGATAATGCCCCATAAACATGACTATAGGCCCAGCCTAATCTAGATAGCACAGAGACTCATAGGTGTTTATGGGTTGTACCAGGCTGACAATGAACACTAACTATCACAGTCATGAACATTAAAAAATAATCTATGGATTAGGGAAATGTATACAGTAAGGATTTTAAAAAGGGAAACCTAGTTGGAGGTGGGGCAGTATTCATTTACTAATAAATATACCCAGTAGCATAGCCACACCTCTTACACATTCTGTGTTTATCTGATTTGCTAATGATACCATCATGTTTCTCATCCACTGCATCCTTCTGTACTGTCATATCCCCAAAACATTTAAAAGCAGCTGATTGTGCTTATACATGGTGCTACATTCCAGCATACATGGTGTTATTGGAGGTGCCAAATAACTGTACTGTCTGATCAAACAATCTTTTCTAGTCCAACGTCATGCACTTGACAGAGAAAATGAAGACCAGCATCCAGAGGGGCCTTGTACTCAGGTAACAGAAAGGGGTTCTATTCCTCCATTTTAGGTGTAGGTTCTTGGACAGAAGTTGCCATGTGATTTGAACCCCAGTGGGCTCTTTCCTTTGTTACTGATTCTGTGAATGCTAAAGAAGCAAAGGTTTCTTTAGAAACCTGAATTGTTAGAAAAAGAAATCAGGTCTTCATTTAAACAAAAGAAAACCTTTTTACGTTTTATTTTTGCTCTATAGCCTATGGGTTATTAGTTTCAAGACACCTGCCCCTCATTTCCTTTAGCCCTCTGGCCTTTATGAGGAAAGGGAAATCTACAGAGTCAGGGTAGGGGCAGAGAGATGAAGGAGGCTGACGGGCAAATGACTGGGAGCCGGGAGCCTTGAGGCTGGCTAGCTGACTGGAGCTGGTCTCCAGAAAGCCCTCAGCCCCTCTCCACAGCCCTGAGTAAATGTGATGTCTTCACATGTGTTCCAGAAACGAAAGCTGCAGTGTAAACTACACCACTGACTTCATCTATCAGCTCTACTCAGAGGAGGGGAAAGGAGTGTTTGACTGCAGGAAAAACGTGCTGGGCCACATGCAGCAGGTAGGCCGGGGTCTTCCATGATCTCGGAGCCTCAGGGGTCCCCCTCAGAGTGGAGTCATTCTGTGGGAAGTGAGCATAGATTAATTCTGAAGTTCTTGTAAGCATGCAGAATTTTCAGTTGTATGAACGCCATCACCTTTAAGATTCTATGTAGTCTGTGACATCCTAGTTGATGGGAAGTACTTAGATGCATTTCTTTTGCCTGTGACCAGACAGCTGACAAAAAGCAACATAACGGAGGAAGGATTTATGTTGGTTGACAGTTTAAGGAGGAAAGGCATGGGGGCAGGAGTGGGAGGCAGTCTGGAGGTAGAGGGCAACCATGAGGTGGGGCAAGGGGCTGGGCTAAGAGATGACAGATGAGCTTCCATGGTAACCAGCTTCCTTCAGGTTGTCTACCTCAAGTGCCACCCTGACTTGGGGACTAAGTATTCTAAGGCATAAGCCTATGGAGGAGACATTCCATGCTCAAACTATAGCAGGACTTTTTGGGGAAAGATTATCTATCAGCTTTCATATAGATGAGAAAGAAAACTGGTTACTGGAAAAACTCCGATTACTTTGTTGAGTTAAATAACAACATTTCAGGTTGGGGGTTTCAGACCAGTAGTATTTATCTGACACTTTCACCAAATCAAGATTGTTTGGAAAGATAGAGCCGATTCTCTCCCTCTAGAATACGGGGCATTTCTATTCACTGCCTTCATTGTTTTTCTTTTATACTCTCCATTTCTGTCAAGTGAGCATGCCCAGGTCACAAGGCTGGAGGTCAGCTTGGGAGTCGGTGGTCCCATTGTTGCCTATCTGTTGGCCTTTGTGCAGTGTAGGGAGCTTTTTAATCTTATTTGTGTGTCTCTCTGTGTGTGCATGTTTATGTGTGTGTGTTACTCATGTTCATATATGCACCTTTTAAATTGTGTGTGTGTGTGTGTGTGTGTACATGTGGAGGCCCAAGGTTGACATCTGGAATCACCCACACTTGCTCTCACATATTACTCAATCTGGAAGAATTTCAGTCAAGCTCAGAGCTCACTGATACTGATATTTTGCTAGTCAGTAAAGATGCCCACTTTAGGGAACTTTTAAACTAGAAGCCACTAACTTATTTCCAAAGGGTTCATGAATTCCTGAAGTTAACATGAGTAGGAATATGTATAGTCTCATTTTTGCGAATCCACAGATTTTTATCAGTATAAGAAATTGTGATGCATCCCTGGTTCTAGAAATGGGCTGGGGAGATGGCTTAGCGGGCAAACAGCCCTTGCTCTGCAAGAATGAGGACCAAGATTTGAATCTCCAGCATCCACATTATAAACCAGGCATGGCTGTCCATGAGATAGACAGATCCAGAAAGCAAGCTGGGTAGGCAGCCTGGGCTAAATGGGGAGTTTCTAGTTGTGAGAGACCTTGTCTGAAAGCCAGTTGTTGGAAAGCCAGAGGTAGACCCCTGATATGGTGCTCTGCCCTCCACACATGTACATGTAGGAGAACACATCTACACATTCAGATTCCTGGACCACACAGACAGAGAGACACAAATAGAGACAGCAACACAAAGAACGACAGCTTAATTATTTAGTTGAGAACACCACAAGGCTATGTAGCAGGCGGAGGTCAGGCTCCAGGATTTACAGACATGTTTCCCTCCTGTCCTAGATATGCAAAACCAAACCATGTTTGTAGGTTTGTAGGTTTGCACACCACGTGCATCTTAAGTGTGGGTACTGCTTTCATTGGTTTCTTTAAAAAAAAAAAAAATCAAGAGAAATTGCTGTGTGACTTATATCCATATAACTTGCCACAGGGGGGAGCACCTTCTCCATTCGATAGAAACTTTGGAACCAAAATTTCTGCCAAAGCTATGGAGTGGATCACCGCCAAACTGAAGGGGTCCCAGGGCGCAGGTACGAGGGAACGGGGCAAATGGGAAAGATGCCTTAGCAGCCTCACAGAGAACCCTGTTGAAACAGCTATGGTGTTTTTTCTTCTTTAAATCTGCCACTGAGATGTCTGGGATACCATACTATCTCTCCTTGACTGTGAATACTGAATACCATTTATGATGTCCAGAGGTTACAATTAAACATAATTGATAAAACTATTTTTTTTTCTACTGCTAGAGGTGGGTGACAAATTGTTTGGTAGCATTCTTATTAGCTAGGGGATTGCCTGGCACACACTGCATGCCATTAGCAAGACTATAAAATAGAGCTTTTATCTATTTCTATGGTGTCATGAAACACGTTCAAAGTCCTTACACTTAAGCTAACACTTGTTCATTGGTTTGATTCACAGGCAAGTTACATAGGAGCAGGGGATATGCACAACTGATTGGGAGGGCTGTGTCCTGTTTTCCTACTTCAAACCCTAAATACTGTCTTTCAGTATTTCTTCTCTCCTCCAGAGGTAACCTTAGGATTTGCTGACAGCCATTCCCTTGATTTCTCGTAGAATGTCACGAGCAAATGAATACATCCTCAGACGTATAGCTCAGTTTAGCTCAGCTTTCTAGGTTGTATGAAGGAAAGGCCATGGGGAACTTCTGAACTTGTATGATGTCTTGTTGAACACATTGATGAGGAGCATGATGACCAACTAACCCTCATGTGTTTCCAAGTTTGCTGACTCAACATACGCTGTAGGGACTGAGTCTCCCTGACCTCCACCCCCACCAATACCTACCACAGATGTATGCTCAGCAGAAGTGCTGAATATGTCTTGGCGGTCCTGTGCTCACTCTTAGGCACACTGCTTTCCTTTATGTTCACCCAGCCCATGGCTGACAACCAGACCTCTCACATGTTGCAGTTCTTTGTGGGCAGGGCATTTGTTTCGGTGATGGAAAACATCTGCCAGCTGTTTCCGCATGGTATTGTCTTTGTCAGGCAGCAGGGTTCAGTTGGAAATTGAAGTGCAGGACTTCCTTCAATCTTTCTAAGACAGAAGTTTAGCTTTCAGGATGTTTGGTAGACCCTTCCTGTGCAACCACCTGTCAAAACGTCTAGTTTCCTTTGTGGAAAGGATGTGACTGCCAAACAAATCCACTTATGCTTAATCAAACTACAAGCCTTTTCCCCCTTTCGATTACTTCCATAAGTTATGTTTTTTAGAACAGTCTAAACTCATTTACATTTTCAAAAATCTTCCATGAAGCTTTTCATACTATTCCCACTTGAGGCCTGCATTTCTAATCACATGGCCTCTTCACATTGGCTGTTTCGGGTCAGGGTTCTTTCTCAGTCATACTGTGTGTGATTTCCTCAGGATTCACCTATATGATGTCCACCATGAGGCTTACAAAAGTGGCGTCCTACAGAACAGATATAAACAGCTCCAACAGACCTTTAGTATTTTCAGAGTCCCAACTCTGGCTTTTTTTTCCTCTTGATAATTTGTCTACATCACGTGATGCTGTTGTATTTTCTTCTGCCTAGATTTCCTTTCCCAGTTTGTCCTTGAGCCTTTATTACTAAAGTGAAATCTTTCGGCAACTTAAATCATTATTTTCTTATTGCACCATTTAGTGAAATACTTGACAAGCACTGTCTCCTTTCCAGGAACCTCTGCCACTTGTGGCTGTTATCCTGTAGGTGTGCTATGTGTCTGTGGCAGGTACAGGGTTCCTCTTTGAGTATATGATATAAGGTAGGCTCCAGCAGAGTCCAGGCCTCTTTGCATTCCATCCTGGAGGAACCTTGAGGGTGACTAAAAAGACACAGCTCAAAGGAGTGCTGGCAGTCTGGGAAAGACCCTGGTCACAGTTAAAAAAAACCCCTCAATAGATGGGACAGTGGTTTCTCAGGCATAACCCACATCCTGATTGGGGTTTGCACAGAGCTAGGACACCTCAGGACTCTAAGGAGCTGCAGTTCTTCCCACAATAATGGATTTGTTCTCTGATGGTTTCTCTCCCTTCACTGTCCGGGCCCTCCTACACTGTTTTATCCGCTTATTCAATATGCTTAGTAGTTCTTAGATTTTTTTTCTTTATGTTTTCTACTTTCACAGGGAAAAAATTTGTTGGCGATGATTCCATTTGTGTCCTGGGAATTTGCAAGAGGGATCTCCTGTTTCAACCAGTGGCAGAGCTGAAGAAAGAAACTGACTTTGAGTAAGTTAATGCCCTGTTATTTATCTGAATCTCATCATTAGAAATGAGAAATAGGAGCTTTGAGGAGAGATCACCAGTATTATCCTGGAGTCTGTAAGGAACTCAGTATTGAACTGTCTTAGGTAAACATATGAGCTTTTCTGAAGATAGTTAAATACACACAACAAACAAACACACACACATACATATGGGGGGGGGAAGAAAACATAAGCTAGGACAGATTTTTTTATTTAAAAAAAAAACAGAAGTAATGGTTTCAATCTGACCTATGGCCATTGTTCTGTGACGTGGGTGAGGTGAGGTGGAACAGGCCTGCAATCACAGCCTTGAGAGGCTCATTTAGAAGAGTCTTAAATTCAAGGTCAGATTGGATAACACTGTGAATCCTTGTTTCAAAACACAAAATATATAAAGGGCTGAGTATAGTAAATTTGATGGTAGAGCACTTACATAGCTTGAGCTAGTATTGGGCCCTAGGTTTAATCTCCAGTGATACATATGCATACACACAGTCATATATACACAGGCACACACATACAGACACTCACATACACATATACACACAATACACTGGATATGGTGATGCATACTTGTCATCCCAGCCATTGCTTGACCAGCTAAAGGCTTACTGGTATAAGGCCACCCTGGCTACTTTGTCTTGAAATGAGAAACAGTTGCCTTATCCCGTATTTATTTAAATGACTACAGCACAAAGTCCATTTTTCTGGCGAGCCTATTCAAACGGTGCCCAGCAGTCTGTAGCAGTCAGAAGTTGTCTTCCAGCAGATGTAATATTTGACAGCTGACTTGTCTTCTTGACAGGCACCGTATCCCCAAGAAGCAGTGGTGGCTGAAACTGCGGCCGATCATGAAGATCTTGGCCAAGTATGAGGCGAGCTATGACATGTCCGATACAGGCAAGCTGGAGCCCTTGCACCACCCCCATGAAGGACTATCGGCCATCTGATCATGTTACGCCATCACCTGACCTGCACACTTATCTAGGGAAGCCTGTAATGTTCTCCAGGGACCATCCTTTTCTGTAACATAATTATTTATCAGCACTTTATGCAAGAATTGTTGACCAGGTATCGTCAGCGGTGATAATCAGAGAGCACCACTTGCCATAACCATTGACGCAGCAGACCCTAAGACATGAAACCCAGCCTCACGCGCTTGATCGAGTGTCAGTTTTCTACTGTATGGGGTACTATCTTGTGCTTTACCATGTGTGTGTCTTGTGGTATTGTGGTATTAAACATTTGGTTACAACTCTGATGGTACTTGGTTTATTAAGTAGGAGCGTGAAACCTCGAGATGATTTTTTTTTTCCATGCTACCAAAGGTTTCCTTAGCAGTTTTGTGGTCGGAGGTTAGCAGGGACCCTGCAAATACAAAGTCTTAAGAGGAGGGAAAGGAAGGCACAGTGTTAGCCACCAGCTATGTGTCATTTAGTCAGCATGCACTCCTCTGTGGCTATACTGAAAGTCTATGGACGGTGTGTGATAGGTCAGGGGACATGAGTTTGAGCCTCATGGACATGCACTCGCAGAGACAGACAGACCTCTTCGAGTGTGGCCAGCCACCCTAGTCTGCTTAGTGACTCCAGGCCAGCAGGGGAACTTGTTTCGAAAACCAAGAGAAAAAACATGCTGGATGCTACCTGATGAAGTCTCCGAGCCTATGCATGCGTATGTATGCAGATTATCTTTTTTCTGTCTCACCTCCACCCAACCCCCAACTCACACACACAGACACACTGGCCTGGGACCTAAGCATGGTGATTACCTGGCCTTAACGCTGACGATCATACATGTGAGAAGATTATTAACTCTAAGTTTATGATCTTAGTTATTTTAGGGGTAGCCTGGAATTTGCCTTGGTAGACCAGACCAACTTTGAGCTTGCAGAGATCCTACTGTTTCTGCCTCCCAGGTGCTAGGATTAAGATGTACTTCATTCACTACTCCAAGCTAGGTTTGTTTATGATTTTTTTCACATCAGGTCACATGCAGAATTTTAAAAGGATAAGTTTAAACTAGTGATTCTCAATTTCAGCCTTGGTTGTACACCAGAGCTGCCAAGGTTCAGAAGAACAATCTGGTATCCGCCTCTTCATCGAAAGGAGCCAGGGTGCTGGGTTTTCACCCTCTGGAAGATTTTAACTCGCTGTTTAGGGTTAATGATGGGGTCCATGGCAAAAGCCCATCCATTCCACTCCACAATGCTCCAGGCTGATGAGCTGTCGGCAGGGCAAAGCATCCCTGCCTCTTGTCACTAGTCTGTGTGTTCTCACTTCTGCCTAAAGGTATCCTCTAGATATCCATGTAGCAGAAATGAGGAAATCTTTACAGAGAAAAAGGATGACTAAATGTTAGTTGTGTTTGAGGCTAAATAAACGAAACAGACGCTCAGTTTTCTTCCTATCTCAGTAAAGACAGGGCAAAAGCTCGAGGTAACACTAACGTAACAAGACTTGTGGGTGCTCACAGGGCGGATCTGTGGAGCTCAGCATCTTCACGCTCCTTCGGGCCTTCGTGGTGACCACACACACCATGCAAAGCTCTATACTGCTTGTATTTATTCTAAATGATCTATTTGCTCTTAGTCTTTATGTGTATGGATGTTTTCCCTACATGCATGTCTGTGCACCAGATGCATGCATGCAGTGCAGGTAGGATCCTGAAGAGGATGTGAGTGAGATTCCCTGGAAACTGCAGTTCCAGATGGTTCTGAGCTACTATTTGGAAGCTAACAACCCTAACCTGGTCTCTTGCAAGAGCAGCAAGTGCTTTTTAGCTGCTAAGCCATTTTTCTTAAATGAAGGTCCAACCATTAATTTTAATGTAGTAAATTATTGTTTGAAATAATGACTAAAGCCCAGGCAGGTTGCAGTTGGCTTTTATGTTTAAAATAAATGTTCTAAGTTTAGTAATATTTCAGAAGTTTAATTTGTTCATTGTTGCCATTTAATGCATGATTAATGAATTTCTTCATGGTCACGGTATTTCCTTAAGAGTTTTTGCCCAGCTGGCCAGTCAATAAACATCTTTGGTTGGATTTTTATATGAATAACTATGATTTTGGGAACAAAGAAACCAGTAACTCCTGTGTGACCACCTATATTAAATTTAGCTCAGAGGCTCAGTTGTTAAGAGCCACTGATTTCTTACGTATACTCAAAGATATGTGACACTCATTATCTTATGATCCATGATGGGTCTTTGGCAATTTTTGAGTTCTCTGGTCCGAGGATAGCCAGGCTGTGTGTGCTCTTCCCGATGCCAAGGTATCTGCAAAGGAGATGGCATATTGGACTGTTTTCTATCTGAAGCATTTTTAGTGGTCAACAGGAAGCCTTCATCTTCCTGAGTTACCCTTCCCCTAGCCCAACACAGGAAGCCAGGGCAGGGCACACATACTCACTTCTGGCTCACAGAGGTCAGTTTGTCGTGGTTGACAGCAAAGAGCTGTTCCCGGTATGCCTGCTTCATCTCATCGGAGAGGCCATACAAGAAGTGGTCCATTCCTAAAAGTTAAACCACAGGTATGGCTGGGGAGACAGGTTGCATAGGAACCTCTGTGCTCAAAGGAGAGCGGGGTCACTTTAGGGTATGCTCTTCAACCAAAAGGTCTGCATGGGCAAGAGAGATCAAACTTGATATCCATCTCTGCAAAATGGGACCTAACCCATCAGCTTCCTTTTTCAGAGTATAGAGGAAGACTTAGTAACTAAAGCGGCACTGACTAATGATGTGGTCAGGCTTGTGCTATGTCAGGTGCCCTTGGAGCTAGAGTTACAAGTGAGTGTTAGCTGCCAGATTCAGGTGCTGAGATCCAAACTCAGATTTGCCACTCTCAGTTGATGAGCCATCCATCCAGCTCCACCCACCTTGGTTTTTGAGACAAGGTCTTCCTCACTGGCCTGGAGCTCATCAAGTAGGGTCATCTGGCTAACTGCTGAGCCCAAGGTTCTGCCTTTTCTCAACTTCCCATGGCTGGGATTAAAAAAAAAAAATGCACCTACCAGCATGCCTGGCTTTTTATATGGATTTAACTAAGGTTGGAATTTTTGCTTAGCAAGAACATTAATAAAGGGGCTATCTCTTGAGTCACAAGAAGCTGCAAGGTCAATATTCCAGCCTTCAGATATGTAGGACAGAGAGACTGGAGAAACTAGAACAACACCATGGCTACCATGTTTCATTCATATGAACACAGAGACAGGTGACTCAGAACACTGTATGGAATTCTGCCTGGGGAAACTATGCACCCAGGTTCCCAGAACCCAAGATACCTTTATCCGATGGAGCAACAGGAGAATCCACAGCAGAGAAAACAGAAAGCTTGGCTTCATCAATGTCTTGCTGTGTGAACTTTCCAGATTTAGCCCAGTCTACAGCCTTCCCAAAAGACTGCAGTGTCTCTATGGAGTTTGGATCCCTGGGAAACCCAAAAGAGCCAATACTGAAGCACTATAGGGGAAAACAATCTAAGGCAATTGTGTAAATTTAACAGTTCATTATGGTTTTTTTTTTTCTTCTAATAGTCTACACTCTACATAACCCACTCTCTCTCTCTCTCTCTGGAGCAATTTAAATCTGACTCAGGAAGCCCCACAACACGCTCTCTATATTTAATACTGCATTTCACTTGCTTACCTCACGGCCAGACTGTGACTTCATCTGTGAAGGAAGTCTCATGGATGGAGGGGTGTCAGGACTACTAAGACATTGAAGAGCCATGGAGAAGATAGACATTAAACTAGCCCTTACTTCCCTAAGACAAACCCAGAATAATCTAGTAGTTAGCTGAAGGTGGGGGGATTTTTGGAGGACTTTCTTGTGTTGAAGACAAAGTTCCTCGTAGCTCTTTAGGCTCACCATCAAGGAACTGAAGATGTGTCAACAAGACCCATCTTAAAGTGCATCTCAGAACGAGGAGAATGATATCGGTGACAGGCCATGCTCTTGGAACACTGGTGTACAAGAATTCAATGGTGGCTCAGAAACTAACCATTTACAGAAAATGGCAACAGTCTCATTCCTATGAAAACGCAGCAGAACTGTATCTCAATTCCGTTCCCACCACAGAAGTAAGTTCAGAAACCATTCTGATTGCATTCCACCAAAACAGGCTGATTATGAAGTTGGAATTTTGTCTAATGTAGACAATACAACACGACTATGTCTGTTCCTTGCAGCAAGACAGGAAAGACACAGCTGGCTATGGTTAGTTGCTCTAGATGGGGACCAAATAAAGAGCAGATGTAACCTTTTCTGTGCTAATATTCTCAGAGCCTGCTGACATTCTGAGAGAACAGAGCCAGTGGCTGGAATGTGGGGGCTCTCACCTGGGAGACATGATAACTCAGAAACTAACCTGTAAGAGTAAAGTGTGAAGATCCCGCTGTGGGTGAGTTTAGCCCCTCCACCATAGGCACCCCCCTTTTCTCGAATTTCTGTATGCAAGAATTTAGCTGTCATCAAACGGGCAAGGATCTTAAGGCTGAAACGAAGGGAGCAAAAAACAAGTTAGAGAGAGCATGGCTCACAGGAAGCGTAATGTAAAAACCAAAGCCTAGAGATGGGGTGCAGAGCTGGAAAGGAAAGGAAAGTCCAGCCGAGGTGTACGGTCGTGTACCGCTGGCCCTCTTCAAAGCACTCTGACCTCCTCTCCATCACCCAGGGCCTTTCTAAGCTCCTGAGGCAGCAGAGCATGGAGTCCAACCACTCCTCAGAGCAACCTGGAACGGTCTCTTGTTTCTGGATCTTCTTGTTATCAGAGATGCATCCATCTAGTTGGCTGCTGCCTCGGGGCTACAGGACAGCCTGTCCTCCTTGTGGGTCTGTCCCTCCGCAGGACCCCTGGGATCCACGTGCCTCTATTTGCCACTTTCCAAATGTCCCTGAAGTTCTCACACGCTGCACACTATCCCGTCCAGGGTGGCTAATGCTGACTGCCAACTTGACAGGCACATCTGGGAGGGAGTTTCTATACCTGAATGTGATCAGCACCATCCCATGAGCTGGGGTCCCAGACCAGATACAAAGGGGAGTGTGAGCTGAGAACCAGCACCAATTATTCTCCGCTTCCTGGCTGTGGACACACTATGCGTGGTTTCATGATCCTGCCACGGCTACCTCATCCTGAAAGACTGTAGCTGCCAAGTGTGAACCAGAATAAACCCTCCCTTGTGTAGACGTTTCTGTGGGTCTCTTGTCACAAAGGTGGGTGCATTTTTGGGCATAAGTATCTATGATGTTGTACATAGGACA